TCCTCCTCCATTCTCCTCTCGGGATCGTGGGCACACACGCACACGCACCCGGTGTGAGTTTTAAGCCACCGGGTCCCGGACGTGAACCGCGGTCGACCACGTGGGAGTCCAGCGACATAGCCATTATGCTAACTGCTGGTTCCCACCCTGATTCTCTTTTGAACAGTGTCAACTCACTAACTATTCTTGATTCTCTCTGGATAGTTTATTATTTTTGTTTGTTGTTTTTAACTTAGTGCCCTGAGCTTGCTGGTGCCATAAGGCAGATAAATATAAGTTGAAAGCCAGGAGTTGTGAACTCATTTTCATTTTGCAAATGATTCTCTCTAGTGAGTGAATTATAGAGTGAAAGCCCAGATCATGGATCATGGAACTCTCCTAACCATGGGTATCTCTTTCCATTATGCTTCGCCAAGAGAAATACAATACTGAACGGAAAGGGGTGGGGAGTTCTTTGTCATCAGAAGTGTTTTTATACTTTTCTCTACATTATAGTGCTTCACCCTGCTTTCTACCTAGTCAGGCCTGCGTCTGTCTTTGAAGGATCACAGATCAGTTTCAGTGCATCCTCCTCCGTGGTACCACATAACCTGGTTGTTTCTTTAGCTAGCCGACACTTTCAACTATCACCATTATCCTGATGTGAATAGGAGGAGGATTATTATTGAAGAGAAAACTCCTGAGCAGCTGGTGTCTTCACAGGACACAGACTGTTTAGAGTTGATTTATTGAGGAGTTTCCCCATGCTGACCTAAATTTAAATTTCTCGACCAGGTTCACTTGCAGGTGGCATCTGATATCTTTTTAAATATCATGATTGTGACTTCTCTTAGAGGGATATGCATTTGGTTTCTTTTCAAAATATTATTCTTTTTGATGATTTATGTAGAGTGGATATAGGGCCAGCAGCTGGCATAGAGTTTAAGGCAACTGGATCCCACAGAGCTGACTCTATGGTTCAAATCCTGGACCCAGCAGCTTGAAAATCATACCAGGCACATGTGTGTACATGCCCAAAATCCCAAGAGGAGAATGGAGGAGGAGGGACTGTAGTATGGCCATCCCCCAAGGGGGCGATTTCTTACTTTCTCTCTCTCCAGTGAGCTCACATGCCCTATAACAAATGAAAAAAATAAATAAATAAAAATAAAAAATAATAAGGTAGACATAAACTGAGGTTCTATAAGTTTGGACTGTCTGGAACCAGCAGGTGGCATAGTGGTTAAGGCGCTGGACTCCCATGTAGTCAACACAGTTTGAGTCCTGGACTTGGGAGCTTCAGACTGACACCAGGTGCATGTGTGTGCATGCCCAAGAACCCAAGAAGAGTGGAGGAGAAGAGATTGTGGCATGGCCATCCCCTCATGGGAGGCCGGGGGTGATTTCTCCCTTTCTGTCTCTGCATGCCCAAGATCCTGAGAGGAGAAGGGATTGCGGCGTGGCCCTCCCCCTTGGGGAGTGATTTCTCACTTTCTCACTTTCTGTCTCTGTCTTCCTAGCAAGCATATGCACCCTACAGCAAAAATATCTCTCAAAAAATATTTTTATCCAAGCCAAAGTTTTTGTGATTGCTGCCACTGACAGTCTCACCAAGCTAATTGGCCCTTTCTTTCTTACCCTCTCCATTAAAGGTAGAGTCCTGTTCCCACTAGCATGCAAATTAAGAGCAAAGAAACACACTGCATTAGAATTTTAAGAAAATACTTGACAATGTCAACAACCAGGATCAATGATTCAAAAAACATATCAACATTACAAATGACTACGTTCAGGTGTAATAATGGGGTGGGGTACCCTACAATCCCTTCTCCTCTATTTCTCCATCCTGTGGATTTTGGGCTCACACATTTGCCTGGTGTGTTCTTCAAGCTACCAGAGTCAGGATCTAGCTCCCTTAACCATTACAAACCAGCCCTAGGTTCTCTCCCTTAACCATTACAAACCAGCCCTAGGTTTTCTCTCTCTCTCTATCTCTCTCTCTCTCTCTCTCTCTGTCTCTCTCTCTCTCTTTTTTAAGGTGCTTGCCATAGGGCACGTGCAATCACCAGAGAGAGAAGGAAAGTGAGAAATCACTCACAACAGGGGATAGCCACACCACAATCCCTTTTCCTCCATTTTCCTTCTAGGATTTTGGGCACCCACACATGTAAGTTTCAAGTCACAAGGTTTGGGACTCAGTCATGTGGGAGTCCAGTGTATTAACCACCATGCCACTTGCTGGCCCAGTTTTCTCTTTTAATGAGCTTTAAAAACATAGTAGCTGTAGTGATGCTTACTCAGTCAGTGTCAGCTGAAAATTTTCCTCACCTAATCCTGAGAATCATCTGGCAGTCGTCTTCCAAATACACTGGGAGTATAAAAAGTATGTCATTTGGGCCAGCCTGTGGCCTGTTGGCTAGGTGGCTGACTCCCACATGACCAACTATACAATTTAATTCCCAGACCCGGCAGCTTGGATGAAACATGCCAGGTACATGTGCCCCAAAAGAGCCAGATGTGGTGTGCACTCGTCCCAAAATCCCTAAAGGAGGAAAAGATAGAGAAGGGATTGCAGCCTGACCATCCCCTGGGGGGTGCTTTCTCACTTTTCCTCTCTCTCTCTTTCTCTGTCCTTCTTCCAGCCAACCCTCTGGCAAATTTTTAAAAAGAGGGGGGAATGATGTCATTATCATCTCAAGACAAAGTTCAGAACAGACCAAAAAAGTTAACAACTATTCTTAACATTCCTTTAAGACCAAGACCAGCAGATGGTGTAATGGTTATATCGCAGGACTCCCACATGGCCAATGGTGGTTCAAGTCCTAGGCCCAGCAACTTGGAACTCATGCTGGGTGTGTATGTGTGCCCAAAATCCCAAGAGGAGAAAAGAGGAGAAGGGATCGCAGTGTGTCCATCCCCCTGGCCGGTGATGTCTCGCTTTCTGTCTCTGTTTCTCCAGCAAGTGCACATGCCCTCTAGTCAAAATCTCTCTTAAAAAAAAAAAATTCCTTTAAGATCATACCCCTCCACAACCACCATTTTTTTTTCTTATTTGTTTTAAATTTTGCCAGAAGGTGTGTGCACTCATTAGAGAGACAGAAGAGAAAGAAAGAGCACACTCACTTTGGGGAATGTTCATCTATTCATTCTGCAATCCCTTGTCCTCCATCCCTCCCACCTTTACGGACTTTGGACCCACATGCACATAAACCCAGTGTGTTTCTCAGGCCACCAGGTCTGGGACATAAACCATGCAATTGGGTTGGTCACATCAGACCAGGCCATGTTAACCACTATATCACAAGCTGGCCCACCGCCATCTTTTAGATCATTTTAAAATTTTATTCTTAAAACCGAGTCTCACTGTCACAGTCAGCTCTCTAGTTGGGACAAGTGCACACCACACCTGGCTCCTTTTTAGACAGAGTCTGGCTATGCTGCCAAGATGAGCTTTGAGCTCACAATCCTATCTCAGCCTCCTCAACTTGCTGGGATTACAGGTGCATGCCACTGTGTCCTGACTTTAGGTTAGACTGGGAATCAAACCTCCACCTCCCACCAAGCCCACCAAGCATAGCAGCTTAGCTACATGTGCTGCTATGAGTCACGTAGCTACACAACAACTGAAAGTCATTTAGAAAGCTGTTTGTAGCAGAGATACATATAAATGCATTCACCCTTGCTTCCAACAACAAAACCAATGCTAAAGAGTAAAGTTCGCAGAGTGAGGTACTGCCTAGTAATAGAGGAGCCCAGCTGTGTTAGCCTAGGTAGATGGCCTTGCAGGGCCGAGTGGTCTCCCTGCTATGCCGTCAAAGGGGATGGTCAGCGGTCTGGGGAAGGAAGAGAGAGCCCTGCAATGAGGTTATTGAACAAGGCCCTAGTTCTATGATTCTAAGATTTCATTTAGAAGATCTGACTAATGTATGATCAATTCCATGTTAAGTACATGGGGGTATTTTTCTATAGATGGTTTATTGGCTTTTGCCTTTTAAAAAAAAATAACCTTACCGTGTGCTTTTGTGTGTTTGTATGCATGTATCTTTAATCAACAGTGAGTCGGATTCTATCCTCTTTTCTAGTCTCATATCATTAGTGTATTTGTAAATAATGCATGAGTCTTCGGGGATAATGATCAGGCTGCCAGCTATGGCTTATGTGCACAGTAAATACTGTATGTAAGGAAGAGCTGTCATCACAAATAAATATTACATACAAGCCCTAAGTAATTTTCAATGTAGCGAGATTGTGGCTCCTGCTTAGATGTAAAAGGAACCTCTGGAAAGAGTATCTTGGAAAATCTTTTTATGCTAATGTTACAGAAACTATTATATATGGACCTTTTCTAAATAAAGTAGCTCCAGAAGAAAACAGTAAAGAACTTAGTTTTCCGTTGAGACAAAATAGTTGTACTGTAGATATTTCACCTCTAAGGTTCACGGTGTGCACCAAGAATGAATTCTTTTCCACTCCCACCAGCCCAATGCCGACTGCATGGACGATCTACCTACCGACTTCGAGGGCTCTCTGGGAGGTCCACCCACCAATCAGATCACAGGTGCCAGTGACACAACAGTGAATGAAAGTTCCGTTACTTTGGACCCTGCTGTCCGGACTGTGGGAGCCTTGCAGGTGGTCCAGGATGCAGATCCCATGCCCCATGAGGGGGAAGTCATCTTCACTACTAACAGTAAGTTCTACTGTGCTTGAAACTGCCATAGCCAAAAGAGCTGTTACCCTTTTGTGAACGAAGTGAATTAAGAATAATTACCTTTCTCCAAAAAGAAAAAGCAATTGAGTATATCATTGCCATGTTCTGTAGTCACAGGCTGTACCCGGCCCTGAGCAGCTGGTTCTTACCAGAGCCAGTAGGACAGAAGCAGATATGGTTGTGTGTGTACATCTTGTCTGCCCACACATGAAACCAGGGCACACATACCACAACCCTGCCCTGTCCATGTCTCCTTCCCCATGGTACTCAAGGCAGGCATGGTGGTGTTTCTGGCCTCCAAGAGTGGAGGACAGGTCAGAGAAGCAACCATAGGAATGCTTGGCAAGACTGGGACAGGGCACAACTGTACCTGTGTGTGAATGTGTGCGTAGGTGATGCACATGTGTGCATGCTGGAGTCCTCATGAGTGCATGAGGCTGTTTTCCCTGTAGTTGTAGAACTCAAATGTAAATGACACTTCTTTGCAAGGGCATTTTTACAGAGCAGCAGAAACCCCTGTACACGGTGGCATATTAAAATATCTTCTGTGTATTCTCCTTCTGCCTTCCCACATTGTTCTGTTTGATGATCATAAAAACATTAAAATATTCATAATGCATCAAAATCAAAACTAAAATCTAAAGTACTTACTATTCAATCAAATATAGCAGAGATCAAAGCTTCAGGAGTTCTAAGAAAATCATCATGCAAATTAACCTACCTTTAAGGTTAAAAGAGTGGATGGGTATTGCAATTTTTAAACAAAGTGTATTTCTTTCTGTTCACAGATGTAACTTATTCACTACAGATTGTTCAGAAATATAGGAAAGCAGATTGAAGTACTTTGGGATATTTGCTTTTAATATAGACTCTTTAAAGTATGACTTTGTTTTGTTGCAATAATTTTTCAAATCCATGTGTAGTTCTTTTCTTCCTTGTTTTCAAATTTACATTTTATCATTGTACGTCTCTATAGCACACGATATAGGTTTTCAAAGTGTAAATGTTGTACATGACAGTCAAATCAAGAGTACTACCATTACATCATTTGCAACAGAGAACTTAATATTCTTTTGTCTACTAATTGTTTGGTTCCTTTGTCCCTTTCACCCACCCTCTACCATCTACACCCCGTCTTTACAACCTCTGGTCTCTACACTTTCCCCCTTACTATCGTATCTTTGGATCTTTCCATTTATGCCATAGAGTGCAGATCTTCAGTATATACTGAACAGGGATATAGAGTGTGTCTTTCAGAATGTGCCTTACTCCACTTAAATCTGTATTCATCCACTTTGAATCAAATTACTGGATCTCTTTGCTCCTTATGGCTGCATAGTATTCCATAGTGTATATGCACCATATATATATATTTTTTTTTTTCAATCTGGTCATCAGTTCTTGGGCACCTAGGTTGGTTCCATGTCTTAGCAATTATGAATAATACTACAGTAAACAGGAATATGATAGTGTCTTATCCACTGAGTGTTTTCTTACCCTTCGGGTAAATACCAAGAAGTGGGATTATTGGGTCATATGATAGTTCTGTTTGTTGGTTTTTGGGGAACCTCCATATTGTTTTTCACAGAGGCTGTTCTAATTTAAATATCCACTAACAGTGTAAGAGGTTTCCTTTTCATCACAGCCTCAGCAGTACTTGGTGTTCTTTATTTTTTTGATCCTAGCCATTCTAACTGAGGTTAAATGATATCTCTTTGTGGTTTTGATTCGTGTTTTTCTTATGATAACAGATAATGAATATTTTAAATGCATTTTGTCTGTTCATGTGCTTCCCTTGGAAAGTTATCTGTGTAGCTCACTTATCCATTTTTAATTGATTAATCAATTTTTTTGTAGGTGAGCTGCTTTAGTTTCCTATATATTCTGGTTATCAGTCCCTTGTTTGAGGCATAATTTACAAATATTTTCTCCCATTCTGAGGGTTCCGTCTTCACTCTAATTGTTCTTAACTTTGCTGTGGTGCAGAAACTTTTTAGCTCAATGTAACCACACTTATCTATTTTTGGGGATTATTGCCCATGCCTGAGGGGTCTTATTTAAGATATCTTTACTTACTCCAATGTATTCCCTAAGTTTTCTACCAGTAGTTTTATAGTTTGATTTGATTTTTGTTAATGGTCAGAGATAACGGTCCAGTTTCATTTTTCTATGAGTGGATATCCAGTTCTTCTAGCACCATTTGCTGAAAAGACTTTCTTTTCCCCACTGTATTGTCTTATATACGTTGCTAAAGACCAGTTGATTGTATTACTTGGACTTATTTTGGGATTCTCTGTTGCATACCATTAGTTTGTGTTTATTTTTGTGCCAGTACCATGCTGTTTTGATTATCACTACTTTATAATATATTTTGAGATTGGATAATGAATTACCTTCTACTTTATTCATTTTGCACAGTATTGCCCTGGTGAGACAGGGTCTTTTTTAACTCCAGACAAATTCTACGATTGTTTTCTTCCTTTTGATAAAGAATATCATTGGTAATTTGATGGAACTCACATTGAGTATTTAAGTTAATTTGGGTAAGACTGACATTTTGATTACATTTAATATTCTAATCAAAGAGCAAAGAATATCTATTTCTTTCTATTACATTTGATTTCTTTTTTCAGTTTTTCATATTTTACTTGTAGAAGTCTTTCACCTCTTTCATTAAGTTTATTCCTAGGTGTATGTGGCTATTGTAAATGGGACTGCTTTCTTCAATTTTGTCTTAGTCTGTTCATTGTTGGTATACAAAAATGCTATAGATTTTATATATTGATTTCATATCCTAATACTTTACTAAATTCAGTAATCACTTTTAGGAGTTTTATTGTAGATTCCATTGGGTTTTCTATGTATGTAATCATGTCACCTGTGAATAGGGACAGTTAAGCTTCTTTTTCTATCTGAATGCCTTTTATTTTGCTCTCTTGTCTAATAGCATTGGCCAGGACTTCAAGCACCATCTTGAAAAGGAATGAAAAAAGTGTGCAGGTTTTTTTTTTTTTAATTATTCTAGCTTTTAGTGGGAAAGCTTTCACCTTTCACCATTTAGTATATTAGCAATGAGTTTGTCATACATGGCTTTTATTATGTTGAGAAATGTCCCTTTTATACATATTTTGCTGAGAGTCTTGATTATGAATGGCTGTTGTATTTTATCAGATGCTTTTCATCTTTCCTTCTCTTAAGGTGATGTATTGCGTTTATTGTTTTGCACATGCTGAACCATCATTGTGTCCCTGGGATAAAGCCTACCTGGTCATAGTGTACAATCTCTTTGATGTGCTATTGGATTCAGCTTGCTAGTATCTCATCAAGGATTTTTGCCTTGGTATTCATTAGGAGTGTTGATCTGTAGCTATTTTGGTACGAAGGTGATGTAAGCATCATAGAATGATTTTAGAAGGATTTGTTCCTTTTGGAGTTTTACAGATAGTTTGAGGACAATTGGTATTAATATTCTATAAAAGTTTTTTAGAATTCAGAAGTGAGGCCAATGGGACCTGGACTTTTCCTTGTTAGGAGACTATTTACTACTGAGTCAATCTCATTGCTTGTTACTGGTCTATTAAGATTTTCTATTTCTTTGACTCAGCCTGCATAACATATCCAGGAATTTTTCCATCTCATCTTAGCTTGCTAGTGTGTTGGCATATAGTTGCTTATAGTATCCTCTCATAATTTTTTTTTGAATTCTGATATATCTGTTATAATATTACTAGCTATGTTACTGATTTTATCTATCTCGTTCCTTTCTCTGGTTTTCTTGATTAGTTGAGGTAATAGTTTGTCCATTTTGTTTATCCTCTCAAAAAACCAGCTTTGGGACCAGCAGATGGCATAGCAGTTACATCACTGAACTCCCACATGGCTAACTGTGGTTCAGGTCTCGGGCGTGGTGGCTTCAAAATAATGCTGCGTGTCTGTGTGTATAAATGCCCAAGATCTGGGGAGAATAGAGGACTAGGGATTATGACATGGCCATCCCCCTTGGGGGATTGATTTCTCACTTTCTCTCTCACTATATCTGTTTCTGTTTTCTTTCTCTGATAAGTGCATGCACCTTAAGGCAAAAACCTCTTAAAACAAGCAAACAAACAAACAGCATTTTGGGGGCCAGCAGGTGACATAGTTGCATTACTAGACTCCCACATGGCTAACCATGCTCAAGTCCTTGAAACTCATGCCAGGCGCATGTGTGTGTATGTCCCAAATCCCAGGAGGAGAATGAAGAAGGGATTCTGGTGTGGCCATCCCCCAGGGGAGTGATTTCTTGACCTCTGTCTCTTCCACAATCACATACACCCTATAGCAAAAATTTCTCTCTAAACAAAATAAAACAACAGCCTTTCTTTTTTTATTGGGTGGGGGGGTGTATTATTATTCTCTTGTTCATTTATTATAGTTCTAGTCTTTATTATTTCTTTTCTACTGGTAATTATGGGGGATTTTTGTTGTTTCTTTTCCAGTTCCTTGAAGTTTAATGTCGAATTATTTATTCACCATCTATTTTTTCTCCTGAACACTAATTTCTATGAACTTCTCTCTTATACCTTCTTCACTATGTTCCAAAGGCTACTTATCAATTCTTTCCATGAATCTTTTTTTTTCTTTTTTTGGAGAGCTTTTTGCTATAGGGCGCGTGTGCTTACCAGACAGAGAGAGACAGAGAGACACAAAGCGAGAAATTACCTCCCCCCCAGGGGACATGGCCACGCCACAATCCCTTCTCTTCCATTCTCCTCTTGGGATCTTGAGCACGCACGCACACACACTCGGCATAAGTTTAAGCCACTGGGTCCGGGACTAGAACCGTGGTCGACTACGTGGAAGTCCAGTGACATAGCCATTACACTAACTGCTGGTCCCTTTCCGTGAATCTTTTGATTTTAGTCTTCTTCAGTAGTTTGCAAGTTGTTCAGGAGTAGGTTATTCAGTTTCCACATTTTTATGTATCTTTGAGGGTTCTTTCTATTGTTGATTTTAAGTTTAATTTCTGTGATCACAGAAGATGCTGTCTGCAGGGACCAGCAGTTGGCGTAACGGCTATGTCACTGAACTCCTATGTAGTCGACCATGGTTCAAGTCCTGGACCCGGTGGCTTAAACTCACACCGGGCGCGTGTGCATGCATGCCCAAAATCCCAAGAAGAGAATGGAGAAGGGATTTTGGCATGGCCATCCCCCCTGGGGAGGTGATTTCTCACTTTCTGTCTGTCTCTCTCTGTCTTTCTGGCAAGCACACGCACCCTATAGCAAAAATTTCTCCAAAACAAAACAAAAAAGATGATGCTGGCTGCAGTTCCTATACTTTTTTGTGTGTGCCTTATCATATGGTTAATCTTCAGAAATGTTTCATGTGAAGATGAGAAAAAGTGTATTTTAAATAAATGTTTCCTGTATATCTGTCAGGTTTATTTGGTTTAAAGTATCAATTAGTCCTTTTTCTTTTTTTATGTTTTGTCTAGGTGACCTGTCCAGTGTTGACAGTCAGGTATTGAAATCCCTAACAATTTGAGTATTGCAGTCTATCTGTCCCGTCAGATCTAGCAGTCTCTCTCTCTTTTACATACTTGGTTGTTCCAGTGTTGGGTGCATGAATATTTATAACTGCTATATCTTCTTAATGAATTAATCCTTTTAGAATTATTATATATACTGTCCTTCTTTGTCTCTTTTTACCATTTTATCTTACAGACTATCTTGTCTTGTGACATCAGCCTTTTTGTTGTTTGCATGAAATGATTTTTTTTCCAGTCCTTCACGTTCATTCTGTCTTTGTCAATGAAGTGTATTTTTTTTTTGAGAGGTTTTTGCTATAGGGCACATGCGCTCGCCAGAAAGACAGAGAGAGACAGAGAGACAGAAAGCAAGAAATCATCCCCCAGGGGGGATGGCCACACTACAATCCCTTCTCCTCCATTCTCCTCTCGGGATCTTGGGCACACACGCACATGCACCCAGCTTGAGTTTAAGCCACCAGGTCTGGGACTTGAACTGCGGTCGACTACGTGGGAGTCCAGCGACATAGCCATTACACTAACTGCTGGTCCCTGAAGTGTATTTCTTAATGAGCAACATAGAGTGGGTTCCTATATTTTTTAATCCATTAACCCAATCTGTGTCTTTTAGTTGAGGAATTTAATCCATTAACATTCAATGTTCTTATCAATATGTACTAAATTATCCCTTTCATTTTGTTATTTTTGTTTTAGTTGTTTTGTCTTGTCTTATTTCTATTATATATTTCTCTTTCTTTAGTTTTCCTGATGTAATATTCCTTTAAATACTTCCTGAAGAGCTGGTTTAGTGTTGGTTAACTCATTCCGTTTGTTTGTTTGTTTTTCGTTTTTTTCTTAATCTGGGAATGATTTTATTTTGCCTTCCCATTTGACTGATAATCTTGCTGAGTGTAGTATTCTTGACTGAAATTGTTTTTCTTTTAGAATTTTAAATATATCTTCCCATTCTTTCCTTGCCTACAGTTTTTTCATTTGGGATGTTTGATGTTATCTAATGGGGTAATCTTTATATGTAACTTGGTGTTTCTCTCTTGCCATTTTTAGAATATTACCTTTGTCTTTGAGTTTTACCAATTTGGGTATGATGTGCCTTGGAGTAGATCTGATCTTAAATCTTTTTGATTATGTCAAAATACCTCTCTAAAGTTGAAAGTTTTCACCTAATATGTCATGAAGAGATTTTTATGCCTTTACTTATCTCTTTGCCTTCTGGAGTACCCGTTTTATGGATATTTGGTCATTTAATGGTATATAGGATTTCCTATATGTTGTCCATTTTTAATGATTATTTTTCCAATGTATATTTTTGGTGACTTAAACTAAATTAGGGGCTTTGTCCTCAAAGTCAGAGTCTTTCTTTTGCATGACCTAATCTGCTGTTAATACTTTCAAGAGGTTTTGATTTCTTACATTGTATTCTTTATGTCCAGGAGTTCTGTTTGATTCTTTTTTAGGATTTCCATCTCTTTATGTATTAATAGTCTTTCCTTTAAGTCATGAAGTGATTTTCTTATCTCTTGGCATTTGTTGTCCATTTTCCCTTGTACCTCACTGAGTTTTGTTATAATAAATATTCTGAATTCTTTTTATGACATTTCTGTTATTTCTTTCATAACCATTATTGTTGAGGAGTTGTTGTGCTCATTTATGGGAGAGGATTTCCTGGTTTTCTTATATTTCTTGGTACTCTGCTTTGATTTTTAGGCATTTGGTGAAGTATAATATTTACTTATTCCTATTTCTTTGGGATAGGTTTCTGTAGCTGTGTGCTCATGGACTCCTCCTACAATGTAAGTTACATCTGTACTAGTTTCCCTCTCATTCTTTGGGTAGGAGTGCTGGTATCTACAGAAGAAACTTGGGGTTTAGATTTTTAAAAGAGAATTTCTCTCCTTTTTTCCTTGGGGTGGGTGGAGAGAGAATTCCTCCAGAGCCTCACTGTCCTCAGAAGGTTTTATTCTCTTTACCCAAATCTCTCTGGCCCCAACATGGCTGGGGCTGAGCCAGGGAGAAAGAACATAATGTGGTAGCTCACAGGTCAGGACAGTCTCTGCTTTCTCCTCACTCCAGGATGAACAGGGAAAGGGCAAGGATCATCTCAGGCTGAATGGCCTGTTACTCCTCCTCACTAAGAGGCTGTTGCAAGCTGGGACTCAATCAGCACAGACGAGGTGACCCTTCCTATCTCCTTGCTCCAGGATGAGAAGAAACCAGATGGTGATCAGTATGGGCCAGGGCAGTCTCTACTTCCTTTTTACTCCGGGAAGAGCACAGTGGCAATCAGCTCAGGCCAGGCAACCTCTGCTTCCTTCTCACTCCAGGGAGGGTAGAAGCTGGCAGGATTTTTTTTTTAACATCTTTGTGATTTTTATGAAATTTATAAAATAATACTGAAATATAAAGATGTTTTTTATGGTGAAGAAACAACACTCTACATTACTGAAAGACTGATAAATTAAAAAAAAAAAAACACTCAGGGAACTAATACCCAGAGATAATCACTCTTAACATTTTAGCCTTGGGATTGGCAGGTAGTGTGGTGGTTAGGGACACTGGACTCCCACGTGCCTGACTGTGGTTTGAGTCCTGGACCTGACAGCTTCCTTTCTCTCTCTCTCTCTCTCTCTCTCTCTCTCTCTCTGTCTGTCTGTCTCACTCTGGTCAAATTAAAAATAACAATAATGATACAAGATAAAAGAAATGATTCTTTAAAATATTTTGGCCTGTTTTTTTGGTGTTTTTTTTTTTTTAATCACTATTATTATTTCCAGGGCATGTAAACTTGCTACAGAGTGAGAAAAGAGAAAAAAAACATACCCCAGTGGGGCATGGTCATGTCACAGTCTCTTTCCATTTCTGTTTCCCATTCATAATTTTGAGTATGCACACAAATATACCTGGCACATATTTTTTTTTTTGGAGAGGTTTTCGCTATAGGGTGTGTATGCTCACCAGACAGAGAGAGACATAGAAATAGAAAGCGAAAAATCACCCTCCGGAAGGATGGCCACACCGCGATCCCTTCTCCTCCATTCTCCTCTCGGGATCTTGGGCATGCACGCACACATGCCTGGCATGAGTTTTAAGCCACCGGGTCTGGGACGTGAACCGTGGTCGACTACATGGGAGTCTAGCGACATAGCCATTACGCTAACTGCTGGTCCTGAGCCTGGCACATTTTTCAAGTCATCAGGACCAGAATTCAGACTGCAGTTGGCCATATGGGATCCAGCTCCCAGTGCACAGTGATTAACCACTTTGCTATGGGACCAAACCTCCTAGTAGTATTTTATGATATACTTGAAAGAATCCCATTATATTTGAAGACTGAATATTTTAACTGCAGCATTTTCACAGGACTTTGACACAATGTCACTTAAAGAACTTGTTTAGAAATACCTTTATCTTGAAGGTCCAATATCAATCTAGCACAAGCCACATCCATGATTTAAAAGTTTCTATCGCCACTCTAAAAAAAAAAAAAAAAAAAAAAAAAGAGTAAACTTCATTATAATGTATTTTATTTATTTAACTTACTGTATCCAAAATATATTATTTCTGAACTCAATCTTTAAAATATCTATGTATTTTAAATTTTCAATACTTTTCAGTTTGGAGTAGGCATATTTAAAGTATACACTTATAACACATGGCTAGTGGCTACCAATTTGGAGAGCACAGATCTATAATCCCATTAATAAAAATAAAAGAAACTTAGAGATCATTTTACTTTTATCAGGATAAATTTCTAAGTGTTACTGTGTGGCCCAAAGGAATAAATAGCTGACCTAGGTCAAATAGCAAATTCTGTTTTTGGTGTATCAGATTTCATAATTTTTCCATGTATGTCCATTTGAAAATTGGCTATATACTTCATACATTATCGTAAAGTACAGGTAAAAAAGCATTTTAATTAATTACATTGAAAATCTGATATCTATATCATGATTAATATATATTAAAAAGTGAAATAGAAAATTATGGTCTGTATTCACATTGTTCATAATCTCTATGTTGTTTTTGCATAAAACAGACTCAGTGTTTAGATCATAGAATATTCAGTAGGTATTTATTGAATGACTTAAGGTTAGGGTTTCAATCTGAACTTCAAGCAGGGACTTTCTGGTCACAACAGAAGGAAGAATGTCAGGTAATCTTGAAGAAACTATAAAGCTAAGATGAAAAGACAAGAGAAATAAGCCCATAACTATAGCCAGAAGACTAGTAGAATATATGAATTTGGCTAGTGATATTAGTTCCTTAGTACAGAAACTGCATTTATAATAAAAAAAAATCCTAGACCACGTATTTTTCTGATTAGTTTTTTTTATTGGGATTTAGCTTTATTTTACAGATACAACCATTCTGATTAGATGTTAATGACTTTTACCATTAACCAAATGGCTTCATATTCCTTAAGGAGAAAAATTCTCTGTTCTATACAGAATTTTAGTCATCTACTGTGCCCTACTCAAATTAATATTTAACCAATATAAGGACAAACAAATGCATGATAAATGAGTGAAAAGATTCAAATTCTCATCAACATTATTGTAATCAACTTGCTAATGCTATCTAAAAATAATGTGGAAAGAAACATAAGTGTAATTGAGGATACAATATTGCTGTAAATCAAAAATAACCTAATGGAGATTGGACCTGATTTTTTTCCCAAATTATCTTTTCCTTTGTCATGTATTCAATGACCAAGGTAATTACCAGGGAAGGAATAAGTAATAGCTAACAAACACATAACAAACAAGCGCCCTTTTAAGGTTCTTTCATATATTAGCTAACAACAACCCTGTGATGTACATAATATTTTTATCTTCATTTTACTGATTTAGAAATGGAAGCACAAATAAATTAGATTATAAGCTAGTAACAAGTGAAGATGGGAATTCAAAACAGGCCATTTGTTCGAAAGCTCATTTATCTATACTATGCTCAGAGAATAAACAAGGGGAGAAGTGAGTTGCCTGCTCACTACTCATTTAATTTATTCTTTTTACTTTTTTCTCATTTTATTAATTTTTTTTTGATAATCAACTCAAGTATATTACCATATACATCATTTTCAATACACAATTTTACATTCTTATATCTGTCAATCATTTCTTCCCTTTGCCCTTTCCACCTGTCCTGTACCATCCACTCTCCTCCCTTACAGACATTGGTATCTTTACTTACCCTCCCTACTATCAAATATCCAGATCTTTCTATTTCTGCTAGAATGCAGACATTCAGTATGTTGAGTGAGGATATACAGCATTTGTCTTTCAAAGCCTGGCTTACCGTACTTAGCACTGTATCCTTCATATTCAACCACTTTGAGTCAAATGACATTGTCTCATTTTTTTTAGCTAAATAGTATTCCATAATGTATATATGCCACAATTTTTCAAACCATTCTTCTGTTCTTGAACACTGAAATTGATACCATGTCTTTGTGATTACAAATAATGCTGCAATAAGTATAGAAGTGCAAGTGTCCTACCAAATGAGTCACTACCAACAAATGGTATTACTGGGTCAGATAGTAGGACTTTTTGTAGGTTTTTTAGGAACCTCCATATTGTTTTACATAATGGTTTTATCAATTTAAATTCTCACCAACAGTGTAAGAGTGTTCTCTTTTTGCCACAGCCTCACCAACACTTGTCGTTTATATATTGATTATGGCCATTCTGACTGGGTTTAAGTGGTTTCTCACTGTAGTCTTGATTTGCATTTCCCTTATGATAAGAGATGGACATTTTTTCCATATGTATTATGGTTATTTGTATGTCTTCCTTGGAGAGTTGTCTGTTCAGCTCTATTGCCCATTCTTTAATTAGATTGTTTTTCTTGTGGATGATCTGCTTGAGTTCTGTATATATTCTAGTTATCAATCCTTTATTTGAAGCATAGATTGCAAGCATTTTCTTACATCCTATTGGTTGTCTCTTCACTGTTATTTTCCCCCCTTTGTAGTGCAGAGCTTTATAGTTGATAAAATCCCACATGTTTATTTTTAGGATCACTGCCTGTACTTACAGGGTCTTACATAAGAAATCATCACATATTCCAATGTCTTCAAGAATTTCTCCAGTGTTTTCCATCAGTACTTTGTATAGTTTGAGGTTTTACATTTAAATTTTTGATCCATTGTCAGTTGATTTTTGTTACTGGTCAGAGATAGGGGTCCAGTTACACTTTTTCTGTAGGTAGATACTCAGTTCTTCCAGATGAGATGTCTCTCCTTTTCTTTGAACTATATTTAATTTATTTTCTGTTTTTCATAATGTACCTTGTAGAGGCCTTTCACCTCTTTGGTTTATTCATAGGTATCTTATTCATTTTGTGGCTATTATAAATGGGATTGCTTTCTTCTATTCTGTTTGTTCATTGTTGGTGAATAAAAATACTGTAGACTTTCATATATTTTATATCCTGTTACTCTACTGAATTCAACTATAACTTATAGGAGATTTGGGGGATTTAAAATTTTTTTCTATATATATAACTCATATCATCTATGAATAGGGACAGTCTAGCTGCTGCTTCTCCTGCCTTCTTGTCTAACTGAATTGTCTAGAACTCCCAGCACTATGTTGAAATGGAGTGGAGAAAGTGGATTGTTTTGTCTTCAATGCTTTTAGCTTTTCCCCAGTCAGTATATTAGCAAGTCTCTTACATATGGCTTTTGTGCTGAGAAACCTCTCTTCTACAACTGTTATGCTGAGTCTCGACCATGAAGGAATGTTGTATTTTATCCAATGTTTTTCTGCATCTGCAGATGCTACCGTGTGATTTTTATCTTTCTGTTAATGTTATGTATTTATTGTTTTGCATGTTGAATCATGCTTGCATCCCTGGGATCAAGCCACTGGGTCATGGTGTGTACTCCTCTTGATTGGTGTTGCACTTGGTTTGCTAATATCCTGTTGAGTATTTTTGCATCTGTATTATTGGTCTATAGTTTTCTTTCTTTCTGTTGTTTTATTATGCCTTGTCTGCTTTTGGTATAAAGGTGATGGAGGCTTCATAGAATGAGTTTGTAAGGATTCCTTCTTTTTGGATCTTTAGAGATAGTTTGAAGGGAATTGGGTTTAGCTCTACTGATTCTGGGTAGGTAACTTCTACTCGTTCAAAATTTGTCTATTTCATCTAACTTGTAACTTTGGCCTTTTTTTTAGTTTGTTGGCATATAGTTGCTAACGGTATTCTCTCTCATTTTTTGTGTGTGTTTCTCACATATCTGTTGTAATATTACCAGCTTTGTAAGTGATCTTATCTGTTTCCTTTCTCTGTTTTTGATTGGTTTGTCAATTTTGCTTATCCTCTCAAAAAAAAAAAACACAAAAAAACTTTTGATTATTTAGTTCATTTATTCTGTATTTTTATTTGTTTCAACTCTTACATTATTTCTTCTGTTATTTTTGAGTGGCTGTTGTTGCTCTTTTAGTTTTTAGAGGTACAACGTCAGGTTATTTATTTGCCACCTTTTCCCCTTTGTGTTGTCATTAGTTCCAATGAATCTTTTGATTTACGCTTAATTTCTTCGGTAGTTTGTAAGTCATTCAGGAGTAGGTTGTTTAGTTTCTGTTTTTGTGAATTTTTGAGGGCTCTTGATGTGGTTGGTTTCAAGTTTAATTTCATTGTGGCTAGAGAACATACTAGATAGAGTTTTTATACTTTTAAGCTCTTAGAGGCTTGTTTGGGCTTTGTTTTGTGGTCAATCTTCAAAATTATTCCACATAAAAATTAGAAAAAAGTATATTTTGTAGTTGCTGGGTGAACTATTCTATATATACCTGTCAGGTTGATTTGTTTATGGTATCAATTTTATTTATTTATTTATTTATTTTTGGTCTAAATGACCTGCCCAGTGGTGACAATGGGGTGTTAAAATCTCCAACAATTACTTTGTTACAGTTTACTTCTCCCTTTAGATTTAGCGGTCTTTCTTTTACATATGTGTTCCAGTGTTGGGTATGGCAGTATTTATCACTGTCTCATTTTCTTAGTGGATTAATCCTTTTAGAACTAAATAGTATATTTGTTTATTTATTTGGAGAGGTTTTTGCTATAGGGCACGTGTGCTCGCCAGGAGGACAGAGAGAGACAGAGAGACAGAAAGTGAGAAACCATCCCCCAGGGGGGATGACCACTCAGCAATCCCTTCTCTTCATTCTCCTCTTGGGATCTTGGACACGCACGCACATGTGCCCAGCGTGAGTTTAAGCCATCGGGTCCAGGACTCCAACTGTGGTCGACTACATGGGAGTCCAGCAACAGAACCATTATGCCAACTGCTGATCCCAATAGAATATTTGTTTCTTTTTATCATTTTAAAATTTTGTTTGATGTCACTATTGCAACCCTGGTCTTTTTTCATTTTTGTCTGCATTAAATGAATTTTGAAGCCCTTCACTTTCAGCCTGTTTATGTCTTTGTCAATGTGTGTTTCTTGTAAACAACATATAG